TGACAGCTACGGCTTGCGATAGCTATTAATCATTGCCTAGGCCTAGAAGGAACATTCTGTATCCTACAATCGAGGGGATTCGTCTCCACCTCGCGAATTAACATATCTCTCGGCCAAGACGAGAAATTGTTCCATTTGCCAAGAGAAAATCGTGCGATCCGTGTCTCTCTCCTCGTGTCGAGAGTTTACCGTATATCTCTTCCCGTTTATCTAGATAAAGCGGGAATCAATTTGGGATAACGATAACGACTGCATATGTCTAGGTCATCGCAGATCGATGATGATCGTTACTTTCGCGCACAACTTCAATTGTAACGATGACGTCGATATGTATTTTCTCTCTGGAACAGCCTCTTGAAATGTAAAATTTAGAGCTTTCTTTATGTATCTCGCCGTCCGATTTATTATGCTCGTAAATGTATTTTTTCTAGGCGTTAGATTTGTATCATTGATGTTGTCTGAAAAAAGTATCGATTGTAATGAAAAAAATAAATGTAATAGAAAAATAAAACGGAAGAAAATAAAATGTAATAGAAAAAAATCGATAGTAATTGACCGAGGTGTGACTAATTTTTTAAAAATTTTATAATATTTAACCTTTTGACGTAAAATAAAAGACACATTTTGCGTGATGTAAATTGAAAGAAATGTCACATTGCTAATTTTTCTGCATTGATAAATATTCAATAAATAAGATTACTTGTGATATGATATCATCAAGTTTAATCTCTCATCAAGTTTTATCTCTTACGAATGAAAATAATCTATATTATTATAATATATGCAAGATCTTATTTTGCCTGGAAACATTTTATATTTTTATGCAAATTGTACGCATCGTTTACACGCTTTGAAAGCGTGAAGAGTTTTTTTTTTAATGAATTATTCGCATTTTCGAAAGATGGAAAGTGCTACGGATTGTAATAAATCGCGAGCAGGCATAACTATGTGGACAGAGAGACTTTCAATGATTTCATTTCTTTTAATATCCGAGAGTCATCGAGTGTGCCCTCGCAAAAATTTAAATTTCATATCGCTACTTTTTATATACTGATGACACACATTTTTTTTCGCCCATTTCCATAAATCTTGAAAGATCTCCTTAATATCTTGAGGGGGCGGGTGCACTTTAAAATGATTAAAATATCAATTTTTTTTTATTTTTAATAATATCAACACGTATTTCGAGAGTTATATAAAGTGATTTCACGTTTAAATGTCTGGGGAAAATGTGTGAATGCAAAAATAGCATCTGTTAAATATTTTCTTATAAAATCATGTTTTCTGATCTCTATCTTTTTTTTTAATCATTGATTCGATCATTATTTGTTAAGTTACTTAAAAATAAACAAACTAGATTTGATTATTAGTTTTAAAAAATTTATATCGAAAATTGTTAAGAAAATTGACTTTATTTAAGCTTTTATAATAAAATTTTAGAAAGAACTCTTACTCTTGGAAACATCGACTAAAATGTATCCAAATGAGAGGGATAAAACATTATTCATGTTATCCCAGTAGAAAAGAACATAAAATTAGATAGGCTTGTTATATAATTTTACAACTTGCTCCCTTAACAATGTGGGAACTTTAAAGAGAAAACAGACATATACGAGAACAATTGATGCTTTTAAAATTTATATAAAATTATAAAAAACAAGCGATTATTTTTTATTTTATTGTTAGTGATATTTCTCCGTTTTATTTATAGCTAGATCGTAATTATGCTTTCTTACAACATTTCTCATTCACTATCAACCTCGATCTTACAACCTCGCTCTAGATCCGAATTATGTTTACATTACTTATCCATTTACACTTACACGAACGTATTCGCACTGATTAAATAAACCGGAAACACATCTCTTATTAAAAGTGATTACTACTCGTTACACGATTGATTCATCGTAGATAATTTTCTAAAGCAGCTTCCGACTTTACAGTGACGTGAAAGGAACGAAATTCTTGTAATGGAAAATTTTTAACTACGAAAGCGAGTGGAGGTCTTTAAAAATTTAAACTCCCAGGAAACAGTCTGCCACGTTGAATTTTCCACTTCCTTTTAAAAATACAATAAAAATGTAGAAATTCTTGTTCATTTATATTCATTTTCATGCTATATTTCATACAAGGTATATTTTGTATTAAGAACAAATTTCATTTAACCGTTTAAATTTCGTTTAAACTTCTTTTTCTTCTTTCAAAAATATGGGAAAATGCTAAATCTCTATATTCAATTTTGTTATTAATCCTTTTGTAAGACATTATGAATGAAAACCGTTCAGAGTCGCATAATATATTTATAGTTTATTCCCCGTAGAACACAATGACAATGCATTAATTTTAATGAACGAATAACGGATTCTTTCATCGACCATTGCAAAACGACATTTGCTCTTTGCATTTTTTACTACGTCGATGTGAACAATTTGTGTCACTTGGGAGAGAATCTATAGCTTAGTATGAACGGACGTTGGAAAAAAAAGTAGACATCGACCAATAAATATTTCGTTGCTTCATAGCATATAACACGATCGAAGATTTATGGGTGGTAATAACGTTATGAATATTCTTGGCGGTCCCTCGTGACCGTAAAACGATTCGACTTTTGACTCTCCCGAAACCTGAAGAATGCATGAGCCGCACGATATTAAAATAGGGGCTAGGAAAAGACTTACAACTTTACTCGACCGCCATTTTGTTTTTATGGTACCGCCAGTTATGTATGAATTTAATAATAAACTGTTATTTTAAAATGCATTTTGCAGGGGCTTCGTTTAAAACGTTAAATAAATAGATTTTAATTTTGCAAAAAATTGAAGTCGCGAAATAATTTTTAACATCGTTTTTAAATAACATAAATGCAATTAATATTTCTTTTTCAATCGATAACAGAAAACTTTTGGTGAATATATTTTGCAAGAAAAAATTTATTGAAAATGTTTTTCGATTATATTGCAGGTGACAAATAATGCATCATGTTTCATTTTTAGATGTAAAATTTTGAAATGGATTAATAAATCTGAAGAAAATTTTGCACTGTGCAAATTTTAGCCTGTTTCTTTTTCAAATTTATTAATAAATGTTACAATATATAATTTCCCACAAGATTCAATGCAAACATAAAAAAATAAATATTTTTTAAAAAAGGGAATAATGTTCAGATTTTAGAAAGATGTTGGAGATGAAAAGACGATAAAAAGTAACTTATAAATATAAAAAAAGAATTTACAAAAGATAAGCTATAAAAAATATAATCTCTAAACAATCTATAAAATTCGACACGCGAATTGATGTGACACATTCACCCTCAAGTCGACGCGGTTCATCGACATTTCCCTTCTTGTATCTTTATTGCAAGGCAGGGATGACATCCGAAGATGAATGAACGTCGTGTTATTCGTTTTCGAAAATTCGCTTTTTCTACGCAGAATCGGGGAAATCGTCATTCTCAGCCGCCGGAAATGGCCTGTCGGTGCCAACGGTCAGCGCACAAAAATCCACCTCTTTTCGCACAACTTCCCCCTTCTCCTCCCAGAGCGCAAGAGTACGTTTTTACGAGCGATTGGCATATACAATATATATATATATATATATATATATATATATATATATATATATATAATAATCATGTTAAACGATATAATGGATTGTTCTTCTCTGTCCTCTCATAATGTATCGGTGAAGCTAAACCTTATTTTGTGCGTACGGTTTTAGGTTTCCGTAGGGAAATCCGCTTAAAACGTCAGCAGCGGGAGGTCGTCGAATGGAAAGAAACCGCTTACGACGATAAACAAGCTTTTATTTCTCTCTTTGGGCGGAAAAAAGGAAAGTATCTCGACGTGAGAGATCAAATTATGGTGCCCCATTGCATTAACATCGCGCATATGCCGTGTAAATCCCTTCGTGGCGGAGCCTCGAAGACTCCTCAAGTGCAATTGCGTCAATTCAAAAGCGCATTTCCTCCATGTACGTACACATGTATAGATTCTAGCGTCTCCAATAAATGCGTGTCAGGTTGAACACAATATAATTGCGGGATGAATATCCGATAACTGAATGCAATGTTGACTACGCGATACGTTTAATCGGCGAAAATGCGCTCTCTGCTATTGTAGGAACACCTGGCACAGTGTCAGGTTTCGAGTCGAGCCGAGGTGACGACGAGATGTTTCTATTTCGCTGTTGTACGAGGGTGCGGTGCCCCATGGCATCAGGCAACCGGGCAATGAACCGACGCATCGCGTGTCCGAAAAGCTTTTTCGGCCACATTACGATGCAGTTTATCTGCCTACACACTCGTAAAGGTATTCATAATTTAAAAAAAAATGATATACCTCATACATTTGCGAAGGGATTTAATTCGAAATTTAAAACGTATCGGGGTATCGTGTTCTCTCAACGAGAATCAAACATCGTCGTGTGTGCGTACATGTGTTTAACACATTGTATCACAAGAGTATATTTATAAAAAAAATTGTTAAACATATTTATAAAATAATTAAAATAATTAAAATAATATTTATAAAATAATAGTATATTTATAAAAAAAATTCGTTAAATTGTATTTATAAACAAAAATATAGCGTTAAATTGTAGAAAATCCTTATATTGTAGCTTAATTAATTATCTTTAGATTGTAAAAGAAAAAAAAACTGTGACGCCATCATTAATTAATAATCTTACAGAAGTCATTGATCGAATGGATTTCGCAGAGCTAGAGCGTTTATCTCCTCGATGAAGGGAAGTTTCGTCCCAAAAATACAAAATACTTCAATCCTTGAATTGCGCAGTACGTTGAATGGGACGGTCGTCTTCGATCCGGGCTCGAATCGACGAAATTAAATTAATTCGCGAGAGAATCGAATTAATTAAAGAAACGATTTTACACAGATGGATGTCGGGAGCGTCAGGCTCCGGCAGACGACACGCCCGAGAACCGCAGAGAGAAACCTCAGAAGCCTCGCGGCCAACCGACGCAGGTCTCCAGGGCCACTCACCTTGTTTCCATACCAGAATCCGCAAAGATGTCACGCTGCGAGCCGTACGTGGGACGATGCTCCGTGGAAGGCGGTGGACGTGGTCTCGACGCTCCCTCAAGGTGTCGTCGACGCTGACGATGCTGCTGTTGGTAATAGTGATGCGATTGCTGCTGCTGCTGCTGCTGCTGCTGCTGTTGGTGATGATGATGATGGTGATGATGGTGATGATGGTGGACGATCGACGGGTTAATCTGGATCCGGTGAATTGCGCCCGGCACTCGCCAGCAGAGCACATATGGGATCACAAAGTCGGGCTTGACCTGCACCAGCGGCAGCAGGCGATACTCGATCTCGCGCGGATTGAAGGACCGGCCGCTCGTTGATCCGCGCACCAGAAGACGACCCTCTCCACGGAGGACGTTATAGTTGCGCCAGCCAAGGTCACGGGGTAACATGTCACGAGGACATCCCTCGAGGCCAACCGCGGACTACCGGCACCACCTCGCGCGTCCCATCATAGTGTCAAGGATACCCCGCACTGTTCCCCTTCGCCCCAGGAGGGAGGATTCGCCAACTCGAGTTACGCACGACGACTCGATGTCTCGATCGATCGATCGAGAGGGCAGACTCTCGTCGACGGTCACGGTGAGACGTATCGTTGAAGGAAAGAGGATCGCTCCTCCAGCGAGAACGGGGTTATTAGCGATTCCACGCGCAGCCGTTTAAATACACTCGGCAATCGATAGTCTCCGTGCACTCGCTGCCACTGAGGGATACCTGGCGGACTCCGACACGGGAACATTCGGTGGTCCCTCCCTCCCTCCCCCCTCTTCGTTTTTTCCACGGGAAGAAACTTTGATCTCCTGTTGCGATTATTGCCTTCTTAAATCGCGCGTTCGATCCAACGTGTTCGCTCGCGAATGATGCCGGGCGAGACCGGACGACTCGGGAGCGTCATCCTCGAGCAGCGGGAAGCGCGTGTGCCCGCGGAGGAAATTCGGGATCACTGGGAGGACCCGGGGAGGAGGGCGGCGAGACAGGCGCCCGAGACACTCCCTTCTCGCGCGACAGCACTCCGACCTTAGCATCGACTTCCACGACCGGAGCCGAACGGGAGCGCAGAGAGCGAACGAACCCAACGAACGAGCCAACGAATGGACGTGGAACGAAAGGCGAGAGAGGAACGCAGGCCCCCGAGGATCCTCCGCTGCGCGCCACGAATTTCAAACGCGGCCTGCGCGCGCAATTTACGTGCCCCAGGGCTGTCTCAAAGGAGAGGTGTTTTCGGTTCGAAGACGGTTCTGCGAGAGGGTTTCCGGGAAACCCTCGGACGGTTCTCCGGGAAGAATCGAGACGCCGCCATCGCCAGCATCGTGCGTCCTTTGACACTGACAGCTTGACCTCTGACACGATCAATTTTTCCGATGGGAAATTATTGAGAACGGGCAAGCGCGTTTCGTGCATTTTTCGAAGAACGGCAGGTACCTCGACGGATTGTTTTATCTTCAATTACAAATAATTAATATAATAAATTATATATAATAATAATTAATGTGAAACTGATGCAATGATAATTAATGAATAAGTAGCAATATGATATTTGCATTTTATTTTTTTCTTTTTTTAATACATAATAATTTTTTTAAATACTGAAGTGTTACCGGAGTTGTTATAGAAAATATCAAACATATCGATTAATTATTTTCTCTTGATATCGATATTGTTAGCTTCTAGAAATATCACAATATGAGTAATTATTTCATTACGTTACTAGGGCAAATGGATGTATTGGATGCAATGTCAAGTTCTAGATTATATTTACACGGCACAAACAATAACAAGGTTTATTATTTATCATTGCGATTACGCAAACAAGCACTATTGATTTGCGAATTGAATCAGTAGTATATAAATTATGCTCGCAATTTGGAGGGGAATAAATCGCGCCCGTCATGTGAACATTGGCAGAAGATAGCTGATTTGCTATTCAAGGGATATATTTAGCTCTTGATGTTAGATAAAACTTGAACGCTCTATCCTCTAAGCGACAGGCTAATTAAATGACTGTCCATTTGAGAAGTCTCTCTCTCTCTCTTTTTTAGGCTGCAATCGATTTCAAGCAAATGATTTAAGATCGTAAATAAATAATGCAATCTTTTTTTCTCTAAAAAACATAAATCGCGACGTTAATAATCCCAATTTATTATAAATACAAATGTTAAAAATAATGGAAATCTCAAGCTCTTATCTCCAATAATTCTCGATAAATTACAATCAAAAAGAAACATTTCTAAAAATTGTCTGTTGTCATGAAATATTTTTATTTTTATTTTATTTTATAATTAAAAATGATATGCAGAAAAATATTTATCTTATGAAAGCTATGCAGTTTTGTGTCCAACATATTTTTAAATTATAAAAAAAATTCCTTGATCTTCTGGTTTTATTCAAAATTCTTGGTAAAGAAAATTTTTTAGAATTTTTTTTAGATTTTCGAAATAATTTTTCTTATTATATTGCATTTTTTAAATGTTTTTCATTTATACGAGGAAAATAAAGAGCTACTTAAATTTCAAATGTTTGATTTGAAAATATATTGAAAACAAAACTGCATAGCTTTCATAAAATAAATATTTTTCTACATATTTTTAATTTTTTATCATTAAAAATTACGAAAAATATACGAACTATCCATTCTGTTAAAAAAGACATTGAATCTGTCAGGTATAATATTATAACTTGGTATTTATATTTTAAACGCATAATTTAATTGGCTTGCCGACTGGTAATAATACAAGAGCATAACAATTTTCAAAAAAATATTTTTTTTGAAAACTCCCTTACATTGGTCTCCAAAAAATCCCTGAAAATTCCTAATATTTTCAGGTATAAAAAAATAAAGAATTCTAGCTTTTCCATGTTTTTCCAAGTAGCAGATACCTCGTTTATTAATCAACGCATGGATAGAGCAAGAAATTTCTCTCAGCCATGAAATCTCGATTAATCCGGTAACGTGTATCCGATGATCGCGATACCGTTAACTCGATATCTTTCCGTCCGAAATGACTGCACCTGCACTTGCATCGGCGTCGTCGCGTTACCGAAACATCCGAAAATTCCGCAAGAGGAGAGAGGCTCCAACAAAGTTGCGAAGGTCGTTTGCACCTGCTCGCTCGACGTCAACCCTTGCACGATGGCTTCTGTAACTCTGGTGCATCACGAATCAAGGTCGCTTCGGGTCTCAACAATTCATTCCTCTTTTCGTGTTTCTTACATGATGTAAGAAGCACGCGATTTCTTATTCAATACGTACAGAAATTTATTTATTAATTTGTAATATAGGAATATATAATAAATATATAATATAATAAATTTTATAATTTTTAAAATTTTATAATTAATATTTATAATTAATATTAATATAATAATATAATATTAATATAATAATATTTTCTTTTATAAAGATATAATAAAAATGTGTACATATATAAATAAGATAAATATATACTATAAAAAAATTAATTGATTACAGAGATAATTTTTCTTCTCTGGAAAGCGATTATTCGATATTTATATTTTCTTTTTCGCAAACGTAATTTCCGTTTCGCGCAAAGTATGTCTCATTTATAATGCATGCCTAAAGTTACAATTTCAGTCGAATTGATATTACTTAATAACGCTGATTGAACTCAAATGCGGTTATCACGTCAACTATCAAAATATCGTATCGTTAATCAGCTCTCGATATAATATTAGAGGTATATATCTGGTTTAGTTAACCGCTTAATTGATTAATGTATTAATCAAGATAGAATTACATCGTTCACGGAACGTTGCGTTGTGTAATACTTGTCAAGCAATATTATATTTGCTTGTTTGTTTTCATCGTTTAATATCCATAATATCCAACTTAAATATTGATGAATGCAACAGTCACTCGCATAATGCGCGAATAATAATCGTACCATTGAGTGTTCGTGTTACACAAGATTCCCGCTCAAATTAAACGCGTCACGGTCGAGTAGAGCGTACTATTAATTTTTCGACGTGTAACGTTTGCGAAAGGATGGAGGAACTTATGCTGAATCTTAAGGACGTTCGCTTCTTGAATTCCTTTTCTCGGCCAAGAGAAAACGCAGATCGATCGTCTCTTAAGGTCACGCGCGGTCCTGAAATTCTGCGAAAAATGGATAAAATAATCCCGCGCTTTCACGGTCGAGAATCTCGATTGTATGTATCGTGCGTAAATATTTTCTCGCGCTGCGAGACGATAAATAAACTGGCTGGAAAAGGATCGCCCGGCTTATTATCCGTCGCGAAAATGGATAACCGTAATCATTGTCGATCCAAAACGAGGTTGGCGATGACATATCACGTCTGTTCCGCGCCGAGAGATTCCTCGTTTCACCTCGTCGAGGATACATCAGGCGATGGTTAAAGATCCGCGTGCATTCTTCGGTCGTATGGAAATATTAAATAAAAAAGAAGCGAGATCCTCCTTTCCAAGAAGCTCCTTTCGTCGAGAACCGACCTTCCTTGTCGTTCGTAAATCAATCAATCTTATTATTATTGCGAATCCTCAAACGTGATATATGTTTATACCAGTCTCCAGAAAATATCACAGCGTTAAATGCTTGTGAAACAAACCAAATCGTGAGATTATCAGCCGGCTTTACTAATATTATTCTTGGAGATGGAATGTTTTGTTAAAAAATTCTCGCGATGTGCTGGGGCAGATTTAATACGTAAGAGATATGAAGATAAAATCTCAATTGTTTTCAATATCGAGAAGAATGATTCTATCTTGCGCATCATGTTCCTTTTTCACATGTCGAGAAAGAATGGAAAAAATATGTTTTTCTCCTTTATATATATAATACGCAGAATATACAAAACGTGTATATTTGCATAACTTTAATTATAATTTTTAAAAAATATATATTTTTTTAAATATAATTTTTAATATAATATATATATATATATATAAATAAAAATTATGTTCTTGGTCCTCAATAAAAAATCGATACGTCATAATCATCATAGGAGAAGCAAGACGCGCCGCATTGACCTTCGTCGGTGATCGGTAAATCGATCGATCATTGCAAAAGATGGGGAGTATCCTTCACCCGGCAACGTCCGATCGCGCTGGATCTTGCATAATTATCGGTTATGGACTAATTTGTAAAAAGACGGCCTTCGAGACGAGTTCAAATCGGCGAGAAAATATATTTTAAATATATTTTCAATACCGATTTTTGATTATTTCACGGAAAATACAGGTTTTGCAGTACAATCGCCCCAAAAATTATATTAAAAAATATTATGTACATATAATAAAATTATTTATAAAGATTATATTATGATTATTTATTTATTATATAATTATTAATATTATATAATCTTAATGTTATATATAATAATAATTATTATATCATTACTTATTTAATATAAAAAATTATAATTATATTTATTTTTATTTATTTTCCCTTTATAATTATTTAATATAACATAATAATGAATTTATTTTGTTTAATATAAGAAAATTATAATTATATTTGTACCATTACACTGATAAGGCGTACAAAATGTACTCTCTAGAAATAAATATTTACCGATTGCAATCGATAATCGCGTCGGTGACACTAATAATTATACCGGTAATTAATCGCGAATTAATTGCACGCACTTCTTCGGGAGGAAGACATTCTTGCTTCTCCGGGCCTTAACACGGAGCATCAATCGACGTCTCGAATATCAGAGGGAATCGATTTTTCAATTCGTAGTGCAATATAGTCGTTGCGAGTAATTTGT